GGTCCTAGTGTTGGCCGCTGTCGGCAGACAGGCTACTGGGCTAGATGGACCTTTGGCCTGACCCAGTACGGCAATTGTAAGCTCAGGGTTGGGGGTCTCAGTGGACCACCTTGATTTTCATGCACACCTGCTCCTGGGTGGCCAGGCTGGCAGCTCTCCTGCCCTAGACAGCCACTTTCCTGTGCCTAGTGCGGAGGTCGTGGACAAGGTCCACGATGTCTGCACTAGACCAGGTGGGTGCCCGCCTCTTGCGGTCCCAGGCAAGCTCCCGGGAGCCGTCAGCCTAGTCCCGGGAAGAGGGGGAGGGCTGGGTGGCAGCGGGTGGCTGGCTCGAACCATGCCAGGTGCAGGGTCTGCTAGCTGGGTGCTAGCACGTCCGTTAGTTCGAATTAACTTTGTAGTGTAGACATACCCTCACTTAGGTGGTTTGGGAAACATTCCCCTAAAGGACAAGACATACTTATTAAGTCATCCCCGATTGTATTTACACTCTTGCTTTCCTACAAAATTCACTAGGCCCTCAGGAATCTAAGGAGAAGAGGTGACTTCTGAGAGGTTCTGTCCTACAAAGTCACCAGCAGACAGAAAAAAGGCTGAGAGTCACTGATTCAGAGGCGATCCGTATTGCGCACAATTTATTTTAGTCCCAGGATCATGAGGGCTGGAAGAGTCACCTTGTTCTGCTAGATGCTGTCATTCAGTCTTGTTTTGTTGCCTATGGACCACTGCCTTCTGGGCCTTGAATAAGGGCCCTGTACGTGCTGGGGCAGTATGTTTTGAAGAGATTTTCCATTAAGGTGTTACTTCCTGCAACCACAGGTTTGTGTTGCCGGTTCATGAAGTTCCACACATGCAGAGAAAAGGAGTTCTTGAAGTCGGGGCTTTTCTCCCAGACCTGGAAGTACCGATTCCATTCTACGCAGGGGATGGGGTAGTAACGCTGAGGATGTAAGTAGGAAATGTTCTGACAGTTTATATCTTCCATGTTACGGAAACTGGTTACAGGGCACAACGCCTTGAGCCTCCTGGTCAGTAACCTGGGCCCTTGGTGGCCCCAAACATTTCCTCTGTAGTTTTGAACAAAATCCTCCATGCAATCCCAGATGAACTTGTGATGGCGAGAAAAGCCAAAAATCGCATTGCCGGCGAACCGGACGTCCTCAGCCGTCAGGAAGTTTTCCAGTGAAATAGGCCTGATGGAGATGACATCAGTGTCCATGTAGATCCCACCGTTTTTCCAGATGAGTGCAAGCCTGATACCGTCAGCGCTGACATGTCTCCAGTACATTTCCTGGGCTGGATTAACCTGTAGAGTTGGAAAAGGACCACAGAGATGTAGTTAACACCACTTTGAAATATCTCAAAACCTGCTCCTGTTAGCTATGTCCTGTAGAAAACTCTCAACTGTGTCTGTCCTAACTGTAATTCCTTCAATAATTAATGAAAACTCTCAGCTGTGTCTGTCCTAACTGTAATCCCTTCAATAATTAATGGACGTTTTTCTTTTTGCGGGCGTGACACAGTGCTGGAAAAACGCAAGAACAGATGTAGCTTTTGTTTGGTGTCATTGTACGAGTGTGTCCAAGGCACAATTGGTTGGAAACCTCCAACCAATATAAAATACTGAGAATAACAACATAAAAACGACCTTAGTGGGTAACACTCAGTATCTAGCCCAGTATCCTGTCTTCAGAGAGTGACTAATGTCAGGTGCTCCACGGGGAGTGAACAGAACAATGTCCTGCCCCTACTGGCCAATAGCCATTGATGAACTTAATTTCCATGATTTTATATAGTTCTTTTTTGAACCCTGTTATAGTCTTGGCCTTCATAACATCCTCTGGTCAAAAATGCAGGTTGACTGTGCCCTGTGTGAAGAAATACTTTCTTTTTTTGTTTCAATCTGCTGCCTGTTTTCATTTGGTGACCCCTTCTTCTGGTGTAATAAGAAGGAGTAAATATCACTTCCTTACTGTTACTTACTGTTACTGACCTCAGTGATATCTCCTCCCCAAGCTGAGAAGTCCCAATTTCTTCTCAGACAGAATCTGTTCTCTATCCATTATCGTTTCTGTTGCACTTTTCTGAAGGTTTTCAATTCCAATATATCTTTTGTGAGATGAGGAAACCACACCGGCATGCCATATTCAGGATGCGGGTACAGAATGGATTTATGTATTTTCTGTCTTTCTATCTATCACTTTCCTAATGATTCCCAAGATTCTGTTTGCTTTTTTAACTGCCACTGCACACTGCACAGACATTGTAAACCTCATAGCATGTGGCATAAAGGAGCGGTCAGAAAAGGCTTTCCTTATCAACGGATCTCCGTTTAGACTGCTGCTTTTTGCTGGGAAAGTGCTGTGTTAGCAAAAAGCGGTGGCCATTTTTATTCTAATGAAGCATAGGATACTTAAATCCCCGCTTCCTTAGCAATTTCGGTATGTCTAATTTACATCCCTCTGGCGACAGAGAGATGTAGACTAGATATACCCGAACAGATTGACTTGAGCATAGGCTTTTGTGAGCAAAGACCCACTTCGTCAGATGCATCATCTTTGCCCAGGAAAGCTTATGCCCAAATGAATTTGTTCATCTTTAAGGTGCCACAGGACTCCTAGTTTTTGAAAATGCAGACTAAAATGGCTACCCCGCTGTCACTACAGTTTGTAGTTCTGCGAATTCATATTTGAGTTGCTTCAGAACTCTTGGGTGAATGCCATCTGCTGTTGGCGTCTTATTATAGTTTAACTTAACTGTTTGTTCCAAAGAAACACCTTTAATGACACCTCAATCTGGAACAGAGCCTCAGATTTCTCACCTACAACCAGTGACTCGGGTTTGGGAATCTGCCTCACATTGCCAGTCATGAAGATTGATGTAATGAGCTAATGTATTTTCTCTACAATAGCCTTATTGTCCTTGAGTGCGTCTTTAGCATGTCGATCATCCAGTGGCCCCACCGTTTGGTTAGTTGGCTTCCTGCTTCTCCTTTTCACTATTACTTTTTGAGACTTTGGCAAGCTGTTCTTCACAATCTTTTGGGCTTTTTTAAATTGAACTTTTACACTTGTCAGAGTTAATGCTCCTTTCCACTGTCTTCACTTGGATTTCACTTCCATTTTTTAAGGATTTTTTTCCTCAGTCTCTGCTTCATATAGTTTGTTGTTCAGCCACAGTGATTTTTTTTTAATTTGGGGTTTGCATTTAAGATGAGCCTCTAGTCCGGTGACTTTAAAAGTCTCCATGCAGATGTCACTTTTGACACCGTGCGTTTTCATTTCTGTTTAATTAACCACCTCAGATTTATGCAGTTCCCCTTCATCATTGTTACCCTTCATTACCATTAATGATTAGCTGTTGCTTCCCCAAACAGTCCCCCATCTCAAATGACACACTCACTGTCGAACCCAAATCCTGTGTGAATCAACGGAGAGATTCTCATTGAATTCGAGGGCTTTGGAATGAGCCCCTCCTGGCAATCTTTGCAGAGCATAAGAAGGGAGAGAAATTCAGGCCTTGAGTGATGTGGGGGCAGGGAGGGAGGACTACCGCAGCCCTCTCTCACTGTAGCAGCTTGGGACCAGGTGAGAAGTGTCTCTCCATGGCTGATATAGTTCCAGCGGGCACACCTGGGGGAAGGGCTCATGTCCTATGGCTGGGGCAGGTCCACAGTCATCTGTACTTTATACTTCCAACCCAGAGGGAGGAATGCAGCCAACTGTGCACTTCCCCCTCGCTCCCTGACAAAGGGGAACAGCCAGCAATGTCCCCCCATGAACCGGGAGGAAAGGAGCTTCAGCCCCCTGCATTTCCTAAGAGCGTATGACGGGTGGGAGACTCAGGGCTGTAAAAGTCCCCACAAGGGAGGGGAGCTCCCCCCATGGCAGCTCCTTGCACCTCCCTGGTGATTCTCTCTCTTTTCTATGTGGTTTTCTGAGACACAATCCCATTCCAGGCACATCCTGTTTTCCTGGCACAACCTCACCCTGAACTTCCTTTAAGTTATGAGAAGAGAAAGCTTTCTACCAACTTTGGTGATCCTAGCTCTTAACATTTAAGAGGATGCCAGCCTGTGTTTTCAAACAGTCCAAAACAATAACTCAAAGGGGAGTGAACTCTCAAAGCTAGCCTTCTGAAAGGAACTCGCTGCCCAAATTGACCTCTCAATTTCTCTCTCGCTTCTAAATCTTGTGCCCGGACATGTTCGTGACTATCAGGCACCTTCACCAAGCACTAAAGTCACGTTTCCCCAGCTATAAATCCTCACTTTACATTCATGCTCACTGACATTTTTCAAATACAACAACAAATTTCTCCTGCCTTTTTGGAAAAGAGGGTGGTTCACCATTTCGAGAAAATAGGGTTGTCAGCATTGTGATGGGAATGGACCATTTGCCCTAACTCCTGCCTTCAGGAACTGTGCAATGTCCATAACAATTTCAATCGATATTTTGACTAATGCATGGCTAAGTGTCATGGAAAAAGGGGTCCACACTCGGTGCAGCACAATGACAACAGCTTCAAAATGTGAATAAGTGCATGCAAATCCTTCATTTCCTTCCACTTCTACTTTCAGTCCTGTTCAAAAAAATATTTCCCCCTTAATATTTCCTCTCACCTTATGATACCATGGGAGCAGAGGTGTATCCTGGAAAACAGTTTCCATGTCGAGAGGAAGAAGGAAGACATTCTCCATGGCAGACAGAAGAGCGAAGGCTGTGGAAGTGGAAACTGAATCCACTGATGTGTTATTTTTCAGACCTTTCATGAAGAAACGAATTGGTCTGTTGGGGTAGGCCCTGGCAGCAGATTCCACAGAACATGAAACCAACGGAGGAGGATCAAGACGGTCTGTGCTCTCCACAAAGATGATGCCGCTGCTCTGGCTCACGTCATCCTTTTGCATTGGGAATAGCTCAGGACTCGGCTTGCATGAGTAGAGGCAGCCAGGCAGCTGGGAACGTTTATAGACAAAGGCCAGGAGAAAGACAAAAGTGATCCCGAGCCCTATTTTGACCCCCTTCAACATTCTTCCTTGTCTTTGGACAGATGACTCTTAATAAAAAGAAAGTCAGTGTCAGTGATTCACTGATGGTCACTCGGACACAAATACAACAAGACAGGATATCGAATGGTGTTATTGCTTTGGATTATTTCCAGGGTAGATACAAAAATCAGATTTTTAAATTTTAACTGGATTTTGTTGATTTTTAAAAAAATCATCAATAACATACAAAATTTGTATTTGAAAATAACAGTTACAATTACATTTCGTCACAAACATGCACCACATACACGTAGAACCTCATGAAACACGAATGACTGGTGCTGGCCGGCCCAGTTTAACTACCAGCTCTTGCTTCTTAAGAGGTCTCGGCTTTCTATTTTATAGCAGACTGCAGTAACATGTGCAAACACATGCAGGTTGAGTGGGATTCTTTTGTTCTGTGCTTACATGCTGGGTGATCTTGTCTAAGCAGGGCAGAGGTGTTAGTTAAGACATTGTCTTACAGACAGAGAGAAAATATTGAAAAAAGGGCTGAGGCACCATAGAAAGGAACCGTGGATTAGACGGGAAAGAAAATGGGAAATCTACCCCCCCCCTCCCACCAAAATCCAGGGAGCCTGGGGAGTTCTTTACCGGGGACGTGCACAAGCCAGAAGCAGAGCTGGGCTCACAACCAGCTTCCTCACTGGCTGTTGGCGAGGAGGGCCCGGAGGGGAGCCCCGTGCTCGGAGCCGCAGGGACACATGGGCTGCCCCAAGTTGGGATGGGATGACAGGACCACTCAGCGTTGCCTTGTTCTGCTCCTGCCTTCCGATGCACCTGGCACCACCAAGGCAGAGTCCGAAGGCGCTCCACTCACCTCTTGTCTGGTGCCTCCCACCGCTCAGCCTGGGGGTTAGCGCGTCAGGCCCCCTCTCCTCCACGGTTTGTTCACTGCCGCTCCCTCCGTCCCGTCCTCTCTCTCGCTCTGCCCTGCAGCCCCTCGCCCACTGCGGAACCAAATCTCCTCCCTGCCCACCAGCCCGGTCCCGCAGCGCTCCTCCTGTTCTTTCCTCTCCCAGCCCTCACTGCCCTGCCCTGCCCAGCTTCCTACAGCTCCTGGTTCTGGTTCAATCCACTCCAGACGCTCCTCCCTCTATCCTGGGTGTGACTGCAGTTTATGGGCATCAGCCTCTACAGGGCAAATTTCCAGCTTCCCTGAGCCTGTTAGCACTCAGTTTCCTGCTCCCTGGCTCTTCCTCCAGGTGCTGGCTGTGGATTCAGTCCTATTCCACTCCAGTCTGTGTCAGCTGGATGCCCCATCACAGACTCCCCCACTCCAGATGTCTACCCGTGGGAGGGGCAGGTATCGTCTCCTTTGCCTCTGACATAGCTAAGCCCAGAGAGACCCTTCCTCTCCTGCCCAGCGTCACCCATCCCCAGCCCATAGCATCTCTTCATTTCTTTCCCAGGATTCCAGGTCATACAGACCCACCTAAAAGGTCCCTTCTATAGATACCGCCCTGGCTCTCCTATCAGGGGCAGGCTGTGCAGGTAACAGGCCTACCTGGCTACCAGTCCTGTGTGAGCGGAGACCCCATGACAGTCGGAAAACAGGGCTCTGGGCTACATGCTCTGACCTAGAATGGCTGTTCTTATGTTCTTAAACTGCATCAGAATTCCCCTGGGAGGTCCCTGCAAACACTGGCCTATGGGTGGAAATTTTGCCTCCTTCCCCCCTAAAAATTTTTACAAAATATTTCACCAGGGTCTTGTAAACGGTGCTGAAATCAGAACTAAGCCCATTGGAGAGCAGACGTTTGTTTACATGGGGAGTGCACACGTCAACTTCTGGGGTCCCAATAGCTGCAGAATATTGGCTTTTGGGGGCCCATGTGTAAAACATCTGTTGCAGGGACTTGGAAACTCAGCATCTGCAGTGTGTGCCTACAGGAGAGCTGGGGAGTCTGGGGGTGCCCAGGGTTGGTGGGGGGCCCACGTCATTCTATCTCCACGTCTCCTTTCTATGCCAGCTGCTGATCAGTGCCCTAGACTCTGGCCTCTCGATAGGCTGTTTTCAGCTCACAGCCATCATTCAAATGGACACAGAGGTGATCAGGAAGCTGGAAAACAGTGGGCTGTGGTGCTCAACATGCCAGGTTCCCCCTTCACCTTCAGGTAATGATTCAGGGAGACACGGGGCCCTCCCTTCGGCCTGCCTCTCTGACACATTCTGCCTCAGCAAGAGAGGGACACGAACCTTATACTCCACAGTCTGGGGGTCCCAGCAGGCTGGCAGGAGCCCCTATGTGTGCCTGTAGCCCAGCCTCAGCCTGTCCCGGACCCCGGCGTGGGCCCTGACACAGCCAGACCCATGGACTGCTGTTTGTTCCCCTCAGGGGAGGGCGCGACTTGGTGCCCTGGGATGGAAGGAGGGTCCAGTCGTCAGGGCCTGTCGACATGGCGCTTCACTCCACACCAGAGGGGGCGTTTAGTCCGCACCAGCGTGTTCCACCCCAACGGGCCCACATGGCCCCTGCTGCCCCACACCAGAACTTCCCTGGGGCACGCTGCCCTCACCCTGCTTGCAACTGCACCACCATGGAGCTGTGGGGCCGCCCATGGGGTGCTCCTTGTCCGCAGAGGACCGGCTCTGCCACAGAAAGGGCCCCTGGCACAAAGGGCCTGGGAAGGGATCTGGCGGCTGTGAAACGACATGGTTAAATGACGAGGTGCAGCAGCCCCACGGTTGACAGGGAAACAACCACATGGGAGATTGTTGGCTCTGTGCCTGCACACGCCGGGTTTCCAGAGCTAGCGCAGGCCGATAGTACACAATTCTGAGCTGTAAAAAGGCCTTAACAGGGCAATTTCCTGCAAGATCCTGGACAAACCTGATTGGACGGAGTTTCTGTTTTCATTGTGGGCTGGGATTGTGTGTGATCCATGGGAGAGTGGGAGCCCAGCCTTCCAGGTGCTAGTAATATTCTGTGAGGGGGCGGGAGTCACTGAGTTGTAAGACCAGCAGAGAGACCCTAACCGCTTGGGGGGACTCCCCACCCTGCCTCACACTGGAATCTCCCAACACCCGCAGGAACAGGAAGGGTTTTGGGGTCACTAGGCTGAGTTTAAACTGGCTCGGGGCCTGCTTCCTGATCCAGCAACCGGACCGTTTAAGGGGGCCGCTCATCCTTAGGGAAGGCTTGGAAGGGCCGACGCGGAGCAGGGGCCTGCTGGAGATTGGGGGGCGGCGGGGGGCTGTGACAGACTGATTAACCTGCCTGTCGCTGCTTGTGTCTTTTCTTTGTAACACTTTCACTGTCACAAGCCAAGTGCTTGCTTAGAAACAGAGGGGAGGGGAGGGGCGGAGGGGGGAGGGGACTCAGTTGTGTCTGTGTCCAGAGCAGTAAGGAGGCAGCTGCAGTGACCTGAGCAACAGGCATATTTGCACCCCCTCCCACTTTCCCCATCGTTTCTCCTCCCCATTTTTCTACCCCATCATTTTGTGCTCTGCCCCTCCCTCTCCTCCCTGCTTAGAGCCCTGGTAGTGATGCTCTTTGCCCCCTCCTCCTGCCCTGAGCTCTCCCACATCTCCCAACCTCCTGCCCTAATTCCTGCCCTCCCATCTGCTGCTCTGAGCACCCCACTTGTACTCTAGCCCCTGCCGCCCCCACACACCCAATTCCTCCTTGAGCTCCTCCTAGGCCCCCCTGGCTGTGAGCCCCTCACATCTGCAAGCCCCTGCCCTGACTCCTCCACCACCCCACCCCCCTGGGAAGAGGCGGAGGGCTGGGTGGCAGCGGGTGGCTGGTTCGTGCCATGCCAGGTGCAGGGTCTGCTGGCTGGGCACTGGCAGGCTTGCACCTGGCACGGGTATCGTAGCCAGACCGTGCCCCTTTAAGGGCTCTGGGGCCGGGAGGGGGGCAGAAGAGTTTCCCTGGTGGTGCCCAGAGTGGCCACCAGGGCAAGCTGGGGAGGGCTAGCCTCTCACTAGTTCGAATTAAATGGCTACACAGCCCTTAATTCGAACTACTTAATTTGAACTAGGCATTAGTCCTCATAGAATGAGGTTTACCTAGTTCGAATTAAGCGCTCCGCTAGTTCGAATTAAGTTGCCTGTGTAGCGCCTATCAAAGTTAATACAAACTAACGTCTGTTAGTTCGAATTAACTTTGTAGTGTAGACATACCCTATCATACTATATGTATAGTTGTGGTTATTTTTTCCAACCTGCATTACTTTACACTTATTATCCACATTAAACTTCATTTGCGATTTTGTTGTCCAATCGCTTAGTTTTGTGAGATCTTTTTGAAGTTCTTCACAGTCTATTTCTGTCTTGACTATCTTGAACGGGTTAGTATCATCCGCAAACTTTACTACCTCACTGCTTGCCCCTTTCTCTAGATCGTTTATGAATAAGTTGAATAGGTTTGGTTCTAGGACTGACCCTTGGGGGACACCACTAGTTACCCCTCTCCATTCTGAAAATTTACCATTTATTCCTACCCTTTATTTCCTATCTTTTAACCAGTTCTCAGTCCATGAAAGGACCTTCCCTCTTATCCCATGACAATGTAATTTACACAAGAGCTTTTGGTGAGGGACCTTGTCAAAGGCTTTCTGAAAATCTAAGTATACTATATCTACTGGATGCCCCTTGTCCGCATGTTTGTTAACCCCTTCAAAGAACTCTAACAGATTAGTAAGACATGATTTCCCTTTACAGAAACCATGTTGACTTTTCCTCAACAAATTATGTTCTTCTACATGCCCAGCAATTTTGTTCTTAACTATTGTTTCGGCTAATTTGCCCGGTACTGACGTTAGACTTACCAGTCTGTAATTGCCGGGATCACCTCTAGAGCTCTTTTTAAATATTGGTGTCACGTTAGCTATCTTCCAGTCATTAGGTACGGAAGCCAATTTAAAGGATAGATTACAAACCACAGTTAACAGTTCTGCAATTTCCCATTTGAGTTCTTTTAGAACCCTTGGGTGAATGCCATCCGGTCCCGGTGATTTGTTAACGTTAAGTTTTTCTATTTGTTCCAAAACCTCCTCTAATGACACTTCAATCCAGGACAGTTCCTCAGATTATCTCCCACAGAGGACGGTGCAGGTTTGGGAATCTCCCCAACAGATTCAGCAGATTGTAACAGTAACACGTATACGTTACGTGACCTGTTCTGCAGAAAGCGTCCTTGAGCTGTGCACGTTCATAGCCGGAAAATGTTCCGAAAGCACGAGGGGATGACATGTGGTTTGAACTCTGGAGCCTTGAGCCCTAGTTCTTAAGTTATGGGAACAATTAAATAATTTTTCTTTATTCACTTTCTCCACCCCACTCATGATTTTATAAAACTATCATATCCCCCCCTTTGTCTCCTCTTTTCTAAGGTGAAAAGTCCCCGTCTTTTTAATTTCTCTTCATAGGGCACCGGTTCCAAAGCCCTCATAATTTTTGTTGCTCTTTTTTGAACTTTTTCCAATGCTAAGATACCATTGGTTTTTTTTAGATGAGGTGACCACATCTGTAAGCAGAATTCAAGATGTGGGTGCACCATAGAGTCATACATGGGGAATAAGATGTTCTCTTATTCTCTATCGCTATTTTAATGATTCCTAGCATTCTGGTTGCTTTTTTGACTGCTGCTGCACGTTGAGTGGATGTTTTCAGAGAACTATCCACAGTGATCTCACTCTTGAGTGGTAACAGCTAATTTAGTTCCCATCAACTTGTACCTAGAGTTCATACTGTGTTTTCCAATGGGCATTACTTTGCATTTATCAGCATTAAAATTCACCTGCCATTTTGTTGCTCAGTCTCCTAGTTTTAAGAAATCGTTTGAAGCTCTTCACAGCCTGCTTTGCTCATCCATTAATTGACAAAGGGATTACAGTTAGGACAGACACTCCTGAGCGTTTTATACAGTGCGTAGCTCATAGGAGCAGGTGTTGACATGTTTCGAAGTGGTGTCAATTGCATCTGTGTGGTGCTTTTCCAACTCTGCAGGCAAATCCAGCCCAGGAAAGGTGCTTTCTTATTGTCACCTCTGACGCTAGCCGGCTTGCACTCGTCTGGAAATACGGTGGGATCTACGTGGACATCTCCATCAGGCGTATTTTGCTGGAAAACTTCCTGACGGCTGAGGGTTCCTGCTTCGTTGGCAGTGCGATTTGGGGGTTTTCTCGCCATCACGGGTTCCTCTGGGATTGTACGGAGGATTTCGTTCCAAACTTCAGGAGAGACATTTGGGGCCACCAAGGGCCCAGCTTACTGACAAGGAGGCTCAAGGCCTTGTGCCCCGTAACCACTTTCCATAACGTGGAGGATGTAAACTGTCAGAATATTTCCTACTTACACCCTCAGCGTTTCTACCCCATCCCCTGCGCACAATGGCATCGGTACTTCGAGGTCTGGGAGAAAAGCCCCGAGTTCAACAACTCCTACGCTCTGCATCTGTGGAATCACATGAACCGGGAGCACAAGCGTGTGGTTGCAGGAAGTAACACCTTAGTGGAAAATCTCTTCAAAACATACTGCCCCACCACGTACAAGGTTCTTATTCAAGGCCCAGACGGCAGTGGTCCATAGGCAACAAATCAAGACCGAATGACGGCATTAGCAGAATGAAGCCCTTACGGACCTGGGACTAAATCAATTGTGCACAACACATAGCTCTCAGCCATTTTCTGTCTGCCGGTGACTTGGTAGGACAGAACCTCTCCGAATCCACCTCTTCTAAGATTCCCCAGGGCGTAATGAATTCAGTAGGAAGGGGGAGATTGCAAATACCATTGTGATGATTTGATAAGTAGGGCTTGTCCTTTCGGGAATGGTTTTCCAAAGCACCTAAGTGACCTTGGAGCCTGAGTCTTGTTGTGAAAAGTCATGTTGGGTTTGGGAACCAAAGCTCCATTGAAAATCAGGGCGACTCAGGAACCCAAGGGCCAGACGTTCACAGGCATTTGGTGTCTGCAGATGCCCCTAAGTGCTTTTGAAAATCCCATTGGGCATCTGTCTGCATCTGTCCGTTCCCAGGTTTGATAGGCTCCCCTTTGGGCGGGAACTGGAGCTCTCTCCCCTCCCCCACCCTGTAGGGGAATTACCTGCTCTGCCCCAACCAGGTGGGGCGATCACATGACTTCCTCAGCCCAACCGCTGCTCAGAGGGGCAGATAAAAGGGCTGTGTACAGGGGCTCGCCCAGACCCCTCTGATGGCTTCCACTGGCAGCCCGAACCCGGCTTCCCTATTGCTCATCTTAGGGACGGGAGCGACGCCCCAACACAAGATACCCCGCCGCAGGTAAGGTCTTTGCCAAAGGCGCAGCATGCGAGGGCAGAGCGAGTAACCTCCTGGAGGCAAGTTCTATGGGCTCGTGGTGCCCCGGCTCCAGCAATATTCAGAGCCGCGGGGCCCTGCTCCACCAATATTTGCAGCTGGGTCTTTCCCCCGGCCCGCCTAGAAAGTTCCGATGACCATTTTAGCCATAGGGGTTTCTTGCGCAAGAAATCCCTGCCGAGCATCCACGCAAGACGCCTTCTCTTAGCACAGCGTACTGTAAATTTCCTTGCGCAAGAGCAGGCGGGCAGTGTGGCTGTACTTGCGCAAGATGCCGAGAGTGTAGACCTAGCCTTAGAGGGAACACTTCCCCCAGCCTCTCTGCCCCTGAGTTAATGTCACATACATTGGGTTAATGCAGGATAGTTGCACGAGTGGGGTTTGGTGGGGGCCAAATTAATCCCTGTTGGTAGGAGGATGGTGGGAAAAGCCCTTCGAGACGAGTGACGTGACACCTTTTACTTCTGGTCATGTGTCCATCTTGCCCCGAGCGTGTTACCTTCAGAGGCGTGGCTAACGGGGAGAGGGGGTCAGGATCAGGAGGCATTGCTAATGGGGGGGCAGGTGGTGTGGCTAACGGGGCCAGAGTGTGTGGCTAATGGGGCACCACCAAAAATTTTCCAAACCTGCTGCCCATGCCTGGAATGACCCCCGCCAGCAACACTAGAAGTGAACTCATTACTTCACTGTTAGTTGGCGCAGAATCCAGCCTGCCCCCAGACTGGAGGGGCTGACAGCGTCTGTGGGCCCAAAAGGCAAGATGCAGGATGCTCCCAGAAGGGGCAAGGCCTCTGGGGGAACCAACACGCACATTAATTGGTTTGTCAGAGCCATCTCCCCCCCGTCCCCATCTCCATCAGGCCTCTGCTCCACAGCTCCTGAGGGAGGGGGGGGCCTGCTTAGACAGCCCATTTGATGGATCAGGAAGCAGGTCCCGAGCCTTTTGACCCCAAATCCTTTCTGTGCCGTTGGTACCAGGAGATTCCAGTGAGAAGAGGGTGAGGAGTCCTGTTGGGGTGGAACACGCTGGTGTGGACTAAACGCCCCCTCTGGTGTGGTGTGAAGTGCCACGGGTGGAACACGCTGGTGCAGACTAAACATCCCCTCTGGTGCGGTGTGAAGTGCCACGTCGACAGGCTCTTGTCTCTGAGCCCCAGGCCAGACCTTGACGACTGGACCCTCCTTCCATCCCAGGGCACCAAGTCATGCCCTCCCCCGAGGGGAACAAACAGCAGTCCATGGGTCTAGCTGCTGGCATTCCCAGGCTGTCGGGTACGAGGTCCGTGTCCCTCTCTTGCTGAGGGAGAACGTGTGTCCCAGACGCAGGCCGAAGGGAGGGCTGTGTATCTGTTTGCCTCCCTGAATCATTACCTGAGGGTAGTGGGGGAACAAGGCGTCCTGAGTACCACGGCCCATTGTTTTTAAGCTCCCAGATCACTTCGGAGCCTGTTTGAAAAAACAGCCTATCCAGAGGCCAAAGTCTAGGGCACTGATCAGCAGATGACATTGAAAGGAGACGTGCAGATAGAAGGACATGGGTTCCTCCTGAACTCTGGGCACCTCCAGACTCTCCTGTAGGCACACACTGTAGATGCTGATTTTCCACGTCCTTGGCACAGATGTTTTACACCTGGGCCCCCAAAAGGCAAAGTTCTGGGGCTATTTAGACCCACATAAGATGACATGTGCACTCCCCTTTTAGACAAACATCTGCCCACAGACAAGCTTAGTTCTGATTTCAATCTTTGGCTGCACCTTTTCTTAGGGGATTTAAGTACTGTTGACAAGACCTGGGTGAAATATTTTGTACAATTTTTGCAGGTAGATGGAGACTGAATTTCCACCAATAGGCCAGAACTTCCAGGGACCTCCCAGGAGAACTTTCATGCAGTTTAAGAACATAAGAGCAGGCATTCTAGGTCAGAGCATGTAGCCCAGAGCCCTGTTTTCCGACTGTCATGGGGTCTCTGCTCACACAGGACTGGTAGCCAGGTAGGCCTGTTACCTGCACAGCCTGCCCCTGATAGGAGATCTGGGGGGTAGCTATAGAATGAACCTTTCGGGTGGCCCTGCACTACCTGGAATCTTATGGGAAGAAATGAAGAGATGCCCTGGGCTGGGGGTGGGTGACACTGGGCAGTAGGGGAGGGTCTCTGCGCTTAGCTATGTCAAAGACGGGAGACGATACCTGCCCCTCCCACGGGTAGCCATCTGGAGTGGAAGAGTCTGTGATGTGGCATCCAGCTGACACAAACGAGTGGGGGTATCCCACAGCCGGCACCTGGAGGAAGAGCCAGGACGCAGAAAACAATGCTAGCAGGCTCATGGAAGGAGGAAATTTGCCTCGTAGAGGCTTCTGCCCAGAAAGTGCGGTCACGCCCAGGATAGAGGGAGGAGCGTCTGGAGCGGATTAAACCAGAACCAGGAGCTGTAGGAAGCTGGGCAGGGCAGGCAGTGAGGGTGTGGAGAGGAAAGAACAGAGCTGCTGGGTTGAACGTCCCCCCACCCAGCCCTGGGGAAGCGGCCCCAGCAGGGCAGCGAATGAGCAGAACCCTTGGGTCACTGTGGGAGGGAGAGATTGGACCAGCCGCGCCCTGGCAGGGGAGCGCTGTGGGACTGGGCTGGCGGGCAGGGAACAGAGGAGATTTGGTTCCGCAGTGGGTGAGGGGCTGCAGGGCAAAGCGAAAGAGAGGATGGGAGAAAGGGAGCGGCAGTGAAAAAACCGTGGAGGAGAGGGGGCCTGACGCGCTAAACCCCAGGCTGAGCGGCGGAAGGCATCAGACAAGAGGTGAGTGGAGCGTCCTGGGACTCCGCCTTGGTGGTGCCAGGTGCGTTGGAAGGCAGGAGCAGAACAAAGCAACGCTGAGGGGTCCTATCATCCCATCCCATCTTGGGGCAGCCTGTGTGTCCCTGCGCCTCCGAGCACGGGGCTCCCCTCCGGACCCTCTTGGCCAACAGCCAGCAAGGAACCTGCTCTCCCGGAACCGACCTAATTCTTTTGTGAGCCCAGCTCTGCTTCTGGTCTGTGCACGTCCCCGGCAATGAACTCCACAGGCTGCCTGAATGGCAGGGGTGGGGGCGGGGAGGGGGCAGTTCCTCCCCTCTTTTTGTTTGAAACCTGCTGCCTATTCATTGCATTGGATGACCCCTGATTCTTACATTACATGAAGGATTAAACAACTTTTCTCTTATTCACTTTCTCCAAACAGTCATGAATTTTTCCCCCTCAATCATCTCCCCCTTTGGTCGTCCCATTTCTAAACAGATCAGTTTTTCATTTCTCATGCTGCAACTGTTCTGGACTCTTACTTGTTTTGTTGCCCTTTTCTGAACCTTTTCCCAATTATAAATTATCTTTTAATTTGTTTTTTGAGATGTGGCAAACCAGACAGCCTGCAGTATTCAACATGCAATCATATAATGAATTTATATTGTGCCTTTATAATATTTGATGTCTCATCTGTTGTTTTCCTAAGGCTTCCTAGCAATGTTTGCTTTTTAGACTGTTGCTTCATATTTAGTGGCTGTTTTCAGAGCACTATCCACAATGACTTTCTTGAGTACTAATAGATTATTTGAAGCATGCTTCAGCTACCCCAGACTAACACGGCTACATCTCTACCACTAATAGATTATTTAGATCTCAGCAGTTTTATTTGTGATTAGGATTGTGTGACAATGTGCATTTCTTCACACATCACCACTGAATTCCATTTGCCAATTTGTTCCCCAGTCACTCCATTTTGTGAATTCCCTTTGTAACATTTCTCAGTCAGCTTTGGACTGCATATTTTGATTAATTTTCTATTATCTAGAAACTCTGCCACATCAAAATTTGCAATGTTCTTTCAGGTTTCTTATGAATATGTTGACCACCATTGGTCTAAGTAGCAGTTCAAGTGGATCCTGATATTTTCTTCTCCCCACTCTGAAAACAGACCATTTATTCTTTCCTTTTGTTTCCTATCTTTTGACCAGGTACCAATCCATAAGAAGTCCTTCCCTTTTATCCCATAGCAGCTGACTGTGCTTAAGGGCCTTTGAGTGAGGGACCTTGTCAGAGGCTTTCTGAAAAATCTAAGTACTCTGTCACTACTTGATCATCCTGGTCCACATGGTGGTTGACCCCCTCAAAGAATTCTAATAGATTGGTGAGGTAGGATTTCCCTTTTAATAAGGCATGCTGACTCTTCCCCCAACATGTTATGTTCTTCTGTTTCTGATAATTGGTACTTGGCATTCTGATCTGAGTAATTAATAAGACATGTTTCAAGATAAACTAATGTGGGTATATCTCCCAATTTAGCAGTAGAATGTACTCAGTTAATTCACGGGTTTAGTGAGTATTATAGATGGTTACTGCAGATTAGATATAGATATAGATGGACAAGAAAAGAATCAAGTTACTTGTGTTAATGCAGCTAATCAAGTCAGGGTAGAAGTGACTCATTCACAGCAGTTGATGTGAAAGTCAAGGGGGGAAATTGCCTTTGTTGTGCGTTAACCAGTTAAGACCCTTACTCAGTCCTAGATTGATGGGCTTGAATTTGTAAAGGAACTCCAGCTCAGCTGTCTCCCATTGGTCCATTAATCCTTTGGCGCAGAAACAGTCAGGTTTGGCCAATATCCATGGCAGAGGGGCATTGCTGGCACTGGATGGCAGATAGCACATTAGAGGTGTGCTGGTGGATGAGCCCCTAATGATGTTACATATGGGGTTAGTCCTGCAAAGGTGTCGCTTGTATAGTTATGTGGACAGAGGTGGCAATGGGGTATGTATCAGGGATAATGTGACATTACAGGACTTTTTATGTGACCATGCAGAATATGGTTGCACAATCTGTTGGCTAACCCCTGAAGTTCATACGAGTTAGTCTGTGACAGAAAAAAAACAACAAATAGTCTGGTAGCAATTTATAGACTAACATAATGTGTAGATGGTATCATGAGCTTTTGTGGGCACAGTCCACTTCCTCAGATGACTGGAATTATGAATTTGGGATGTGAACACTTGAAATAAATAGGAGAAGGGAGGGGGGAAGAAAGAGGGAGGGGTTTGGAAGCAATGCATCAGTATCTGGAGAATGGGTACTTAAACCTAAGCAGATAAAAATCAAAGTCGATAGATAGATAGATTCCCAGGTCAGGAAGGATACCACTCAGAGACCTGTTAGTACCTTCAGTGGTTGTTAAACTGGTAGGCTGCATCTAGACTGGCAAGTTTCTGCAAAAGCAGATGCTTTTACGGAAAAAACTTGCCAGCTGTCTACACTGGCTGCTTGAATTTGCACAAGAACACTGACGATCTAATGTAAGATTGTCAGAGTTCTTGCGCAAATACTATGCTACTCCCGTTCGGGGGGGGGGGAAAGCCCTCTTGCGCAAATATATTTGCGCAAGTGGGCCAGAATAGACAGCTAAAAAGTGTTTTGAGCAAAAAAGCCCCGATGACGAAAATGGCGATTGGGGCTTTCTTGCGCAAAACCACGTCTAGAATGGCACGGAGTCTTTTGCGCAAAAGCGTCCGTGCCAATCTAGACGCTCTTTTCCGCAAATGCTTTTAATAGAAAAACTTTTCAGTTAAAAGCATTTGCGGAAAATCATGCCAGTCTAGACATAGCCGTAATATCCCAACCAACCTTTATCATGATTGAGTCCATTAGCATGTGAATTGAGTTTGCAGATGAACTGTAATTCCAAGGCTTCCCTGTGGATCTGGCTTGTAGAGCTGGTTTGTGACCATTGAAGGTGCCAACAGCTCTCTGAGTAGTATGCTTCCTGACATGGGAATCTATCTATTGACTTTGATTTTTATCTGCTTAGGTTTATGTACCTGTATTTCTCAGCCCTTTGCATCCCCGGGATGGGCTGGCTGCCTTCCTAACTGTGCCACGGAGCACTCGGCCAGGAGCCCTGTCCAGTCCGGCTCTTACGAAGCCCCGTGTCTAGTGGGAACCTGGTTCTCTGTGCTCCCCAGCAGCGGGAAAGCAGTGCTGCAGAAGTGTTGGCTGCCTACGGTATCCTGCTTGGAGCAGCCTCACCCACCGGGGTGGGAGGAAGGACAGAGATGGTGGGGAGGAGGAAAGGGGGGATTTTTTTACAGCCAGCCCAGGAGACCTGGGAGCCGTACCAGGAGTCCCTGCTTGGCTGGAGCAGTTGCGAGCGTGTTCCTGTTGACTCCATCCAGGAGAAAGCCAGTTTTGTGTCTGCACCAGGGGTGTCCCCATGCAGGGAAGGCTGGAGCAGGGGCAGTAGAGTGGGGGAAGCAGGGCTGTCACTCGCTGCCAGGCTGGGGGAGGCTGGCAGCCTGCTAAGCAGTTTCAGAACTAGGCTCCACGTCCTGAAGGGCACAGTTGGGTCTGCAGCCAGCGAGAGTTTTGTCTGAGGGAAGTGGGGCTCACCCCAAGACAGGCCTCCTGCAACTCCCACACCCACCTCTGAGGTAAATCCACAGCCCCTCCCATCAACAGGCCAAGACAGCACTGGAGATGAGAGGGATACGCCTCTGGGCACCTCACTCTCTTCCGACTCTAGCCCTCTCACACCCACGGGCGCCTGGGTGCTGCTGGGTAGACAGCTGCTCTGTC